GAAACTTCGAGAGCCACAGGGGCAGAGCCCGAAAATACCAAATTTCAACCCAATCCGACCAGTAGTAAATGCGTGATTGAACTTCAAACAAACATACAACTAACTTTCACATTTATAATATTAGTATGATGATTGTCAAATTTAACTGAGTGATATACATAAGTTTGTTTATCTTTTATAATTTATTAAAACCCTAATTATGTAATATAACAGTATCTTAACTTAACCATAGCCAACAGCACTAGCTATGTTTAATTTACCTTCTTATTTGGTCATCGTTAAGTATTTACTGTTTAGTGGGTAACAGCGTTCCTTCATTATCATCCTGTTTGGTGAAAATTTTTGTTCTCTAAACAGCTGGTAGATGACGTAGCGCGGAGTAGTGTAAAGCTGATCAGCTGTGTGACAACAATACTCTACCATTCACTGCCTGTATTTCTTAGTGCGTAGGCTGTCTTCGTTTATCTAAGGGCTGTACCGAAACTGCCACGACGTTTAAGGATCATAATCCATACCGAAACCGCCACAGCAATTTGGAAGGATTATAAGGGTGTTTTCAAGTGTGGCAGAAATACTGAAACTACCACAGCAGATTCCTCAGGTACGGGAGGTCAGTTTGGCGACGTGCAGGGAGAAAATCCCTTTATCCCTTTATTCATCAGAATGACGAATTTGAAACACAACATTTTACATCGTTCATAACTTAATTGAATACTTTTCATAAGAGGTCATACTAACAATGAATTGATTCAATACTTGGTGTAGAATTTACATCAGTAGTTAAAAACAAAGTCATAAAAGACCTATCATGGATGTAAATATGATAATTTGTAGTCCTCTAGTCTAGATTAGTAGGACTGCCAATCTTTGAAAGTGAATACTGTGAAATACATTGAAATATAAAATGTAACCGCTATAACGTTTCTATATAATATCAATTGCAATTAATTAGTCCTAGATCATACTAAGCTTCTTAAATTCACCTGAAATACATCAAAGTCCTTACGACAACAACAGTAAAACATGCATTAAAACATATTTGTGTTTGTAAAGTTTTCATCATTATTCGTTGCTGTTTACTCTAAAATGAATATAAATGAAAAATATTGTGAATACCACTTTCATGTTTGTTTTTAAGTTTGTTTGCTTTACAAAACAAGCCGGGCTTTATATGTGAGGCGACACAAACTAATTAGACCCAGAGACATGTGCTGTAGGTACTTAATGAGATCCTGCCTGCGTCAATGGCGATGTGGACAATAGCTCTGAAATATTACATACATACATTTTTGTTTATTATGCAAATCATTTTAGAGTGGTCTCATTGATTCAAAGTTTCAATATCCCACAATATGTACAGTGTGCATTCAGAAACATTTGAGTACATTTTCGTATAAATGCATTTGTATTCCAACTCAAAATTATATCTTTAAATTGATTTGTTTTACCTTTTAACATTTTAATTTCAGGTGAACTGCATGTTCTATACACATTTAATCAGCCTATAAATAAGACGAGATAGCTCTAATGTAGTATTTTTAATTATTTAAATACTTCCCATGCTTATGTACAAAATGTATAAATAATCGTAGTTTAGATAATAATGGGTTCATATGCTTTAAAAATAATTGAAAAATGAAAAAATGATGGCAGATTTTAGTAAATTCTTAAAATTTTTACACTCCTATTGTTTAAAAAAACGTGCGATTGATGTTTTAAAAATTAACTATTCACAGTAATATAAGTGATCCTACGAATAGAAATATGAAATGGAAAAACTACTCCCTGACGACTAAAATGTAAACTAAATATATTTAATATAAATATACGTAGTAATTTTGACTGTAATTAAATGGTCAACTAACAGATATAGGAAACAATGTGTTTCAAATTGTCAATGATATTGAAATAAGGCAAAAATATATCCAAAATACCGGGTGTCCACAAAGTAATGCGCCCATTTAGTGACGTCCTTGAAACCACAACTTTGGACGAAGAACACTGATATATTTTTTTTTTGTAAAGATTAATTATTTTTGTAATTTTCGCCGTGTGTTTGGTGGCAGTACACCGCATTAAACTACCATTTATCGGTGGCAAATGGGATTTAATTAAACAGGAACTGTTTAAGATGGAAAGCGAACTGGAAGGCCACGAGTTTCCGAAGACACTACCGAAGAAATCCCCATTCCTAAGCCTAAGCCTATGGGGCAGTGCAACTGCTGTTAAAAGTATCTTAACTACTCAAAAAAAGGCAATTAGGTTAATATCTGATGCTTCTTATGACGCACTTTGCAAACCCTTATTTGTATCTGAAAAACTGATGACTGTTTACAGCTTGTTTATTTTTGATATTTTAGTTAAGTTTAAGGAAAATAGTATTGGGAATGTAGTAACTGGAGCCGAGGTGCATGAGCATGACACAAGAAATAAACATCTAATAGATATACCTTATGTTAGACTTAGAAAAACTCAACTTAACTGTGATATCTTAGCAATAAATCTATTTAATCTATTTAAATCTATTTAATTTTACTAACTGGGACTGTTAGCCTAACTGATTGTTGCCAGATGATTATTATAAATGACTTGTCTGATTGCATGTAACTGCATGTTTAAAAGACCAAATAAAATTCTCATTCTCATTCCCATTACGTGGTTACATAGTCCAAAGACATGTAAGGCACCTGAGTGATTTGGGAGTACCCAAATCAACCTTACACAAAGTGATTTGTAAAAGAGTTCGTCTAACTCCGGATAAGATTCTACTTTTGCATGAAATTAAGCCAAATAATAAAATCAAGAGACTCAACTTTGCAGTTACTATGATTTTGGAAGATAAACATTTTTAGAAATAGTTTTACAGAAGAGTCAACCTTCCACGTTACTGGCACAGTCATCCGTCACAATATTGTAGAATTTTGGGTCCCCAGTCGCCACATGAATTTGTCGAACATCTGAGATACTCTCCGAATATAAATTTTTTGTGAAGCTTGATGCATACCTGTGTTATTGCACCATAATTTTTTTTGAGAATGCAGTAAATTTGATATCTATGGCGATACGTTAGAACTGTATGTCTTTTCTCAGTTGGATGGTGTTGAAAAATATGAGGGCCTCTTATTTTTTCAGCAAGATGGAGTTCCTTCTTATTACAAAGACCGAGTGTGTCAAGCTTTGACCAACAGGTTTTAAGACCGATGAATCTAAAGAGAAAGACCAATTTTTGGCCACCAGAAGCCCCGAAATGATGCCATTAGACTTATTTTATTTTCGGAATACGTTAAAAACATTGTTCACTCCGAGAAAATAAACGATATTGTCCACCTAAGGCAGAAAGAGATCCAGGCTGTTGGCTCTATGACTCCAGGAATGTTGAAAAAAGTGTGGGAAGACATCGAATTTCAAACTGATCCATACCGAGCAGGGAACGACATGTGAAACTTTTATAATAAACAGGAAACTTTAGAAAATTATCTTTCTTGAGATGCATTTGTTTTTAATGTAGGTATGTATAACCATAAATAACATATTTGGCTTTAAATGGGAGCATTACTTTGTGGACATCCAGTATATTAAATATATATGTAGTTTTTTTTTACTGTAATGGTCAACTATCAGATAAAGACTAAAAATATTTTTTAAACATTTTACTTTAAAACAAGGTTTATCGCCGTGTACTCTCGGTATGAAGCCATAGGTATGACAAACATCAGCCATTACAATGAACTACAAGTCTCTATCTCTAGACACACTCATGCAAGTCTCTGCATATTCTTCCAAATATCACGTATATTTTTGAATAATGAACCTCGTTTTTCATTCTAGGATTCATGGTAAACAACTTTTGATTTTTTCAAAGGACCTTGAAATGAATTATTACTTAGATGTTTATGCTTGAGTATGGTCGAAATTATTTAATTTTTTGTGCATACAAAAGATTATGTACATATAAATCTATCGTGTTTGGAGGTGAATACTCTTTGAACTACCTACCCAAAGTTATTTTTTCTAATGTAAATAATATGGCAACGTCTTCTGAGCATTTTATTATATATGTAAATCATTTACCATAAACCATAAAACACTACTATACTTTAAACATTAAATTGATTGTTGCTTTGATAAATAAATGTATATCAAAATTTGTCCTATCCTTTGTACCGTTAAAAGGAAAAATCTAAATACCGAAGATAAAATAATAAGTAACCGGAAATAGAAATTAGTAAGGGTTTTAAGCAAATATCAATACTTTATCTATATGGTTAAATATCTTTATTATATTGTAAGATGCATCATTAAAATAAAGATTTTGCAAAAGCGATGAAGAGTAATGTAAAGTATCAGATTACGTTCTTAATCTTTGAACGAAAATAATTGGTCAAGAACAAGTGTATTGATTTTACATTTATTATTTAACAAGGCGAGCTTTCGTCGAAATAATCTCGTTTAGTACATTTTCCACTTGTTAAAATATATAAAAAAGAAAGCATACACATTGGTGTTCATGCATTTAAATTTGGTTTTTGACAGCCAACGTCAAACATTTTTTTAAAATCTATTTTCTTACAGAAAATTTAGTCTTGGGTTGAAATATGTCATTAACATTTATCTTAAGTTTAATAAATACATTTATTAACTTAAATAACAATGCCATTATTCTAAAAAGCCGTTTAGCAATTTTCCCATATAGGGAATAAGTTATACTGAATTTTGATTGAGTTATAGGGAATATTGCAGCGTCGATATTACTTTGCTTTATTACTTTTCAATGAATAGCTAATGAGGATATTCAAAAACTGAAAATTTTAAACAACTGTGTTATTACTATTGAAAGTTAGTGAAATTTAACAAAAAACAAACTCTTTTACCTTCCCTGTAACATCAATCCTATGTACTCGTTAAACTGTAAATTTAAATAGGCAATAAATGTGACATTTTTCAGAAGACATTAGTGAAAATGTAATTAGGCAAAATGAAAATTCACTTAGTCTGCAGGTTTTCTGCGGCGGCTTTATTAAAAAATAACATGTTTAATTTGATAGTTTTGCAACATTATTACAAAAGTTGTTGGTGCTATTATGGGAACTAGCGTTGCTGGCGTACACAAGTAGGGGCCAATACAAATAGGGCCTATATACAAATATACATAATAGTTGTTTGAATGACTCACAATGCGGTTCTCTTGTATACAAGTAAGTCCATATAACAATTATTAATTACTTCGTAGTATAATAGTTATTATTATTATAGAAAGAAGTAAGAAACGTGACACAGTAATCGTTGTTGCTGAGGAAGATCCGTCCGTGTAGTTTTGAATGATTATCCGACCCTCCACAGCTGGGTAGACCGGGGAGTGTTTCTCTATGTACTGGGAGAGGACCATGTAGTCGACGTCTTCTGGGAACATGAAATGTTATATTACATAAAGTACTTTTAACCGGATAGCTGACAACTCAAACTTTCTCTCTTGTAAATATACTACTTAATGAATTACTATCTACAGGAAAACTGCTAACTCGAGTTGTCTGTATTGCTCAGGCATGGCAGTCACAGGGGAGCACATATTATTTTGGTGTGACGCATAAAACACCCGAGCTTCCGTGATATTTGACATAGAAATTGCTCCTGACAGTATATTTGGAGCTTTTCTCCTGGAAGAGAACCCGTCGCTTTGTCCATCAGTTCACCGAGGCCATTATATAACTTGTTTGACCTTCAATTTGTGAATAATTTTATAAGAAAATCCCGAGTATTGTATTTCCAAGCTAGTGGCCCGAAAGAAAACGATGTTTTAGCTGGTAATCTGAGGAAAATTAGCGTGACACTACTGGAAGGATATTGAGTGTCTAAGAGTGCGTAAAGGATTTTAACTTCCGTCCATAAAAAAACAATAGTTTTTTATTAGTTTTAAGATGAAGAGGGTCTCCAAAATGAAGAATGTTTTTTTTTTTTTTGTAAACCTGACCTTTTATTGATATCTAGAGAAGTGAACTTTTATCCTGATCACGTCATCATCACAAGGCACTTGTTAATTCACGAGGTTTGAAACCTATATTTTCATGGTTAAAATTCTGCCCTATTACTGAAACCTTGTAAACCTAAACTCTAGCATCACGTTTTGAATTTGTGGAATTCACATAATGTTTACAGCTAGGTAACCTGATGTATTCCAGACAATCTGTCGAGAAGACAAAACCGACACCGTCCAAGGTACTGACTTTACGCAGAATCAAATAGGTATTTTGATTAGAGGGTAAGATAACATACCAAATACGTAAGTGTCAGGTACATTGGCCAGCATTCTGAAGCCATCTCCTCCGTTACCGATGTACTCCGGCATTGCAACCTTGTAGATGGCAGACTGGTCGAGTGGTAAATATTCAGGTTTGCCACAGTCTGCACAACGAACCTGTACACTGACTACTCTACTGCCAGGGGCTGCCTGCATGTTGTACACCACCTTCAGTCCTGCACATTCAAGAGGGAATCAGGAGTCATTGATTACAAAACTAATAAACGCACTTCAGTAATTATTCATCGGAATCGTTATCAGAATAAACTAACCATGTCAAGAAGAAAGACGTACAGCAACAATAATTTTGATAATACATTTTTCCTACATTTGGACATACATTATTACACCTAACTCGATTCCAGCTATTACTATAATTTCACCTTGCCATCAGAAGGTCCTATACAAGAATAACATTTGTGCGTAAAATTTGATAGTTCAAGTTAATAGGTGGCACGGAAAGTGTAACGCATTTTCACTGCTAATCGCTGTTTGGCGGCACATTGGAAATTATACAAAGTCAATGTTATCATCCCTCCAGCAGGTGCAAACTTGGTCGAGTTGATAGAGGAAATATCGGGGGGCGAGTTTTAAAACGGCGCTTATATTTAGCGAACTATATAAAGTAGAAACTTGTACCAAACAGCACCAAATATCAATATTTCCTCCTCGTAATTTTGACAAAAATGACATCGTCTATCCTTTTTTACGAGTCGTAGCTGACTACGTAATTAAGAAATAATAAAGGTTTATTAGCTAAAAGCACATCTAATTCAAGCATAACACATAATAAAAAAATTAGCTCAAAGATAGTAATTAATTAATGAGAGCCCAAGGGCAGTTATAAAGGTAAGTGTGGAGAGACCTAGTATCCAAGAGTGGCTTGACCGTGATGACCCTGTAACAGATACCTGTTAGTGCTACCTGTTGGTGCATAAGGTGGAGGGTGTGCCCAGATCTGTTGCACTGTCATGCCCATTACTTCCCCTACAATTCCCCCACCAACACCCCCTCAACCACCCTTTGCTCCTCACTAGGGTAGCGGCTACCCCAGTGTCGTGTGTAGTGCCACCGCTCCGGGTACACCACAGCTGTAATATGCTTTGAGAAAGGTAACCATTTTATTTATTTAGTTATTTAAGGCCTTATTTGGTTTGATTTTGAAATACACAAAAGTAATTTTCTACTTGCATCATAGTAAATAATGTTGATCAGGGTTAAAAGTATAAAGAAAATTATAAATGTTTATTGATTTACGTCGGTGTTTAAATTATTCTTAACAAAATACACCAAAATAACGAAAGAGATTAGTTTTAAAGATTAATATTAAATCATAAATAATTTGATAACTTAATTAGAGTGTGAAATGTGTTCAATATAATGTGTTATATTGTGAAAATCAGAAGTTTAAATATAACTTTATTGCTAGAATAACAGCATGTTTGAATTTAAGTGTATATGTTATTGTTTATTAAAACTTATTCACTTTTTTAAAAGCCAAATAATTTACTTGGGGACATTTTCTAACGTAGTAATAAAAAATATCCACGACTACACCTTTTTAACATTCAAAACATTTGACCATTTAATTAAAATTATTTTGAATGATAAATGTTTGACTAATATAATTAAAAATATGGGTTTTTTTTAATTGAATTGCTTTAAATTTAATGTAAATCTTTTTGGTGGGAAAAATATTTTCAATTTATTTCTGCAAATGTGAAGTATAAATGAGTAGCCTACAAATTTAAAATTGCAGTATCTAAAGTTCTTAGTCCTACATGTGCATAAAAAGTTATTTGTTAAAAAAAAAGAAAAAAAAGAAAATAAATATGTTTGACGAATCAGATCACTAACACAATTTAGTGTTACAGGCACAGTTACTATTTAGGGACTCCTTTGACCGGTCTGAAATTGAATTACGAACTAACTATTTTCATAATAATTTATTTACTTATATTAGAAATCTGAAATTGTGAAATTTGCCACAGGCCCTTGTGTGAACATTGATTCTTTAAAAACACATATGATATTCTAGATACTTTATGACAAACCCCCTGACATTTTTATCAGTCTAGAGACTCTTAAGGAAACACAGAGACTAGTTAGACTAATGCAAGTAAAAATAAAAGTTTGACTCACCAAATACTAATTACCTTCATGACCTTATTATATTATTAGGACTAACCAGCAACTTGTAGAAACTCGTTCACATGTCCGTCGAAAGTTTCCTCGTATCTGTGGACGGCAAACTCAAGCATTAGTAGTAAGAGGCTTCCACTTATTTCCTTCACAACAATTGTGGCACTGAAGGGCGCCACCGTAATCAAGTCTCCTACAGTGATGGGACCTGCAAAAGATACTAATAATTATGTATTATTGATTTTTTAAGAATATTTGTTTACCAAATGAACATATTCAACGTTCCATAAGGTATTGTTTGGCAATACCATAACTCTAATAACGACTGTCTAAATAATCAGGCTGTGAAACAAATAAAAAATGTGTCGTCTGATTAATTTAGTCAACCACAAGACGCCCCCAACTAACTTCATATACCGACAGTTTTGCGGTACATACTACAAAGTTTGATCAAGTTGTGTTTGGGGGGAGGGGTAATTCTTGTGCTTTATGCTTTCGTTTTGTTTTATATTAATTTTTTTTGTTTTGATTTCATTCTATGTCAAAATGTGTGTAATAAAGCTATACATTATTTTTTTAAAACATAAAAAACTTTAGATCTACGTCAAATAAAATCCCACTATCCTAATAATGAGTAAGATTTTCTTTATTCATTATTTAAAACAACTTGATAATGACTACTATATGACCAACAGGTTCGAAGTTCGTTACAAATAAATATTTGTCAACCCTTTTATTTAGTCAATGTAGTATTATAATGGAACGATCGTTATCCGTATTATAATGAATTTAAAGTTACTAATTTTATTAATAAAAATCCTACGAAGACATTTTTCATCTTAAAACTACACAATATTGATATTTTTACAATACAAACAAGTTATTGTATAACGACGCCTAAAAACATCTTAAAACCTCACAATTCATCATAAAACTACACAATATTGATATTTTTACAATACAAACAAGTTATTGTATAACGACGCCTAAAAACAACAAAAGAAACTGTTGGTTATATTCGATTCAGTTCTCACTAAAATATACCTTATAAAACAAAGAAATGTTGTCTTTTTACCGAAGCTGGACATCCTTAGGACAACTGTCTGACAAAATAAAATATGATAACAAGCTTGTTCCTAAATACCACCGGGTTAGCAATACGTTAGTTATCAATCAGCCCGTATCCTAGCCCAAGACCACATTTTATGCACTTGTCGACAGTTGTACAAGTCCCAATTGACAGGGGCGGCTTCCACCTGTTGCTCAGTTCTATAACCCTAAATTTCCTTCAACCGGGAAAAGATTTCCTCTAACCCTTCTTTATATGTCCAGGCTTTTCCATACCGTGAGCTTCCATACTGGGCTTTTATCCGTAAACGAAGAATCGTTGTAATATAAATAACAAATGACTACTATAAACATCCTAGGAACACGTAGGAAATAAAAGCGTATAATGTTAAGATTCTACATTTTATGATTTAAGTTTGTGCGGCTATAAATTTCAATTAATTCAATTGTAAGATTTAAAACTTCTAATTATATGTTTAAGCTAGTCACCTAAGAGTAGTTAATGTTATCACTAAAGAGTTATAGTTGCAATTTTAATCTAATGACTACTATATGAATAAATAAATCTGACATAATGCTTTCCAAATTACAGTAGTATTATGAAGTTAAAAAATTAAATGTGATTCTATTTTGAAATTTCATTTTTATGATTTTTGTTTTATTATGTTTTAATGAGTTAAAAAAATAAATTATTACATTACTTTAGACCAAATTTTACTCGTATACAATGTCGCTTAAGATAAAAAGAAAATAAGAAAGATGCTATACTCTATATGAGCTATGTATGCCTTTTTGTGAGTTTTTATGTGTATATTTATAAAATTGTTCCTTAAATCCTGTGGAAGCTTTTAGACTAAAGACTTAAATGAGGGACTGTAGGTCTAAACACCTGATTGGCGAAATCCTCTACCTAATTATTCTTTTTAACATTGCCCTTATAGGTTGCCAAATAGCCATGTTGGTTTTACAAACAAAAAACCCCAAGGAAAAAGTTAACAAAAGGGTTGTAACATATGTTTATAACAAGCCATATACAGAATACTTGCAAATTATAAACACAGTACAAAGGGAAAACATTCAAATGTAACTATTGAGCAAAGATTACACATGGCCATCGGGGAAAATAGCTTTGGGGCCTTGTTTTACAACGATAACGAAATGCACACAAAAAATTATATTAGTCTTGTACATTAATCTTTTAAACTGAAATTTTATTTCGTAACAAGGACACAATACTTTGCGAATAACAATTTGTAAATGAGAAAATATAAGTAAGGTTTCATAATTCTACAAGTCTTTTGTTTTATAATATTTACGTACATCATTGTGAGAAAAATACTAGTAAATCTTAAAAATATTATTATGAAAATGTTTACTAATTGTATAGTTTCGTCATAAGATGACGAATAAATAGAGATAAAGAAAATGAGATTTAATTTAAGTTAAAGAATGAAATTATTAGAGATGTATAGCCACATTGCCAGTTATAATTATTTCAGCAATTACTTGTTTGTGGTTTCTAATAATGACATTTTTTGTTAATTTTAAATTGTGTTTGTTTATAATATAGTTTTAAGTACTTAACCCAACTAACCACTGCCAATCAAGGCCTGGCAGGTTTGAAGGGCAAGAAAAAGTTAGAAAAAGTCCACTCACCTTGATGATTGATAGAGGCACGTATTCCACCAGCTTGTTGTAAGGCTACAGAAGCCACGGTCCAACCCTGACTATTCGTGTATTTACGGGTAGCCTGAAACAAGGGCGAACAAGCTTGATAATTTTAAATACCCCCGCCGCAGCAAACCTGCAGACTATGCGAATTTCCATTTGCCTGATTGGATTTACACTAATATATCTCCTTAAAAATATCACATTTATTCCCTATTTAAATAACATTAGTTTAACGAGTACTTAGGTTTGCTGCAGCAGGGAGGGTAAAAAAGTGTTTTTTTATGTTAATAGTTTAGTATGAAATGAATGCATTTTCCAAATTTGATCAAAATATGGGAAACAAATATGGATCATAAAATATGGATCATAAACAAGCAAACTACAACAGTTTACTTATTCTCCATAAGAATAACATGGGAATTTTAAATTTACAGTTTTTATGGAATTTTCACCCTAACCATTAGGCGCATAATAACGCTTCAATATACTAAATTAGTTGTTTTTTTAAGCTCTACAAAATGGTTTGGAAAGAAAATGCTAAATTTTAAGTGTTTAGGGCCAAAAATTGGAAAAACAATTTTTCCCCATAAAACCCCCCATAAACCCCCGTCCCCATGGTCCGATCATGCTGGTTCGCGAACTCGTTCGAATAAACGTAGGTTTACACGTTTGTACCATTATTTTATACCAACGTACCAGCCGTTTTATCATTATTTTGTTTCAATTCAGAATTTCGATTATGATGTATGGTACAGGTAATACCACCGAGAAACTCATACTAATCTAACTTTGAACAGGATTGCCAGTAAATATAACATTAAAAAAATGTAGTGCTAGTTGTAGGCCTATTAGCAAAAAAGGTCCTATTTTTATGGACATTTTCTTCTCTTATGAGTTTGTGATCGAGTGGATTTCAGCTAACATTTACACAACAAATTACAAGAGGTGGGTTGAACACAACAAATCATAGTAAGAAGAAAATCACTGTTGTTTGCATTTGTTGCTGTGGAGTGAAATTTAGTTTTTTTCTTCTAAAGTAGACATTGACATTTTGCACTACTGTAATATGGTTTTATGAAAAAATGTTCTCACGTGATTGAAAATTTAAAATAAACTTGTCAATGTCGCAGCTTTGATGCTTTAGTGTAACAGGGTTGAACAAAATATGCAAATATAACAAACATTTCTTGATCAATTTTGAAAAATATTTTCAATACTCCACCCTCATGGTAAAGCCGGGCGAGTTTTTGGTAAATAAAGACATATTTACAAATTGACTTGAGCCAATTCCGATTTTTATTGGACTGTAAGTTGCCACAAAACAGATGTAACGGTCGTCAACGCAGTCGTACCATGATTGCTCTTGAAACGGCTAAAAACTCTTGACATTCCTATTGAAAACTCCCTATTGAAGAACAGTTTTTAAAATTAAAAATAAAATATTACTTATTATTTGCAACCTTCTGGCAAAACAGTTTTGAATACTTGATTATATATAGTTGAAAACTAGTATGGCATACTAAGGGAGGGAGCTGGACAAGTTATAGAGCGCGGGACCTAGGTCCTCGACGTCTGGGGTTCAAATCCCAACTACCAATGGATTTTATTGAAGTGATAATATAAACAAATCTAGGTCCAGCCTAAAGTAATGTGATAAAAAACAATCTCGGACAAGCATTTAAACAAAAAGTTAAACATACAAACATGTTAACCCGAATGAAATCCATACATGTTTTACAGCAATGAATTCTACATAAAACGGATCATATTACCTTTATTTGGCCATATTTGTGCAAACGTAATACCCTTTGCATAATCAACGAGTAATTTGAATTTTATTTCGACGTTATTCCCTCACGAGTTGGCAGAACATCGTGGTTAATAACAGCTCTAGTTAAATTCAAATACAAAAGTAAATATACTTTTTGTTTAGACATGCGGACACGATACTGTATGTTAATAGTAAATGCTCTCACCACAGGAAACCTAAGTTTGAGACACATAATTTATAAAGTATTCTGCATTACATAAATGTGTACCAACTGATCTATAGACTAACGTTTAAATACAATTTCAGTAGGATCAATTGATATAAATGTATAACTACTGTGAAATATCGTCACAGGAAAGCTGTTTAAGGATGCTTCATATATATACAGCTTGTATTTCTATTGCCATTGCATGCTAGATTTCAATTACAGATTGTTGAAGCATGAGAGCTGAAATTCAGTCATTTTATGTCGCCTTGAAGAGCTTTTTACAATGTATAACTGTATAGCTTTTCACTTATGATATTTTAACTTTTTAACTGCAATGTATTAAAGATACCTTTTGACGCAGTTTCGTTCACAACCAATAGGGTCCACAAATAGGGTTTCACTGCCTGCATTTGTTGTTGCCGGTCCCGTTGTGTGAGTTCATGAGCAACTACCATCTTGTATGAATAGAGGTATATTAATGAAGAATACGGTGCACAGTACGATTAGACAACGCCTGTGTGGATGCATGCTTACAAGCAGAACAAGGAGGAGACTGCAAAATAAATCTTTAGAAGAGGCTGATATTTTCAGGTTGATATTTTGGATGATATTTTCAGGAGTTAGGGCTGTTCTGGGAGCCCCAAATCTCCTTCGCAATACACTACCACTTTCACAGAATTCCTGCACCCACCACAAAATGGATTTGCATTCTGGAACAGCTTTGTGGAAGTTGACCCGTTAACGAGTTTGCAGCGCAAGCTTCATAGCAACAATACAGATTTTGGCAAATCTATCTCTCGAATGCACATTGCTCACCTTGCCAGGCCATGTCTACTACTGATGGTGTGATATTAGTAGAACAATCCAAAGCAATTGCATTATTTAAGCCAACCCTAATTCCTCCAGCACATCCCTACTACTCACAGTGCCATCTTTAAGTTAGGGATACTTCCCTGCCACACCCTATATTTGTTTATATTCGTTATATGTTTAATTCACTGTATGTTTTTTATTTGTATTTATTTCTGTGTGTTACATGTTTTATTTCATGAATATATTTTTAATTTTCATGATTAGGTAATCATCGAATAAATATAATTTTTATCAAGCTTTTATCTTGAAGATTATTTACGACAATTGTTCACAGTTCTTTTTCTATACAGGGTGGCTGAAAAGTAACTTGCACCCCCTCTTAACTTTTGAACATTTTGTGATATTTGAAATCGGTTTGCGGCAACTAGTTTCAATATAAAGGGCTACAATATTTATGGTCAGTTTTGAAATTTTTTCCCTTAGGGGTAGCGGGGGTAGGGGGTAGCTCAAAATTTTCAAACAACAAGTTTAGTCGAGTTTGGTATCATGTTGCAGGTCTTGACGAAACATAACAATTGACATAAAGAAAACCAAAATCGGCCCACTAATAACAAAATGGCAGTTCAAAATTACTTTTAATGGCCATTGTCTTAATCATTTTTTGCCACAATTTTATTATTAATGGTACGATTTCTATTTTCTTTATGTTAGTCGTTATGTTTCGTCAAGACCTGCAAAAAGATATACCAAACTCGACTATACTTGCTATTTGAAAATTTTGAGCTACCCCCCACCCTCTCACTACCCTAAGAATATTAAAACCCCTAATATATATAATAATATATAGAATATTTACCCATAAGGGCAAAATTTTCCCACAATTATTGTAGCATTTTATATCCAAACAAGTTGCTGCTAACTGATTTCAAACATCTCAAACAGTTCAAAAGTTAAAGAGGGTGAAAGTAAATTTTTTGCCACCCTCATGGTTATTTAGATTTGAAACGTTTTAGGGCGCCATTTTGTTATTAGTAGGCCGATTTTGGTTTTCTTTATGTCAATTGTTATGTTTCGTCAAGACCTGTAAAATGATACCAAACTCGACTATACTTCTCGTTTGAAAATTTTGAGCTACCCCCTACCGCAAATACCCTTAAGGGAAAAATTTTCAAAATTGACCATAATTATTGTAGCCCCTCATATCTATGTAGGTTGCCGCAAACAGATTTCAAATATCTCAAATGGCTGAAAAGTTAAAGGGGGGGGGGGTGCAAGTTACTTTTCAGCCGTCCTGTATTTAAAATCGAAAAACATTAATTGTAAGGTTGATAACACCATTTACTATTGAATACTGAAGAGTTAATACGTTATTCTCTATAGTAATCATCTATTTATCTATATAAATTAACTATAACATTTTTAACTGTTGGTCTTTATAACATTTCCATAGTTTTAACAACTTTTAAGGGTTCTTTTCAAACATGGTTTAATATTTGTCAAAATACTCCAAATATCGCTCCTGTAAAGCAAACCCTTTTTCCCGCATTCATGTAATTCAAATTATTTCCGGTCGTGAATTGCTTTTAAGCGGGCGTTATCACAAGTGCGTCTGCCATCGGTTGAATGGCGTGAAATGGAGTTAGTTTTGATGTCAAGTGAGCATCCAGTACCTGTAGCTTATAGAGTTTTATTTTTGTATTACTCGTTTTTATTTTCGTTTGATTTGCTGCAATGAAAACCCCTTTATTTTGGTTTATTATGCTGACGTATAAATATATTCACTCAATCTTTATCTTAAATTCGTTTAACTACAATATTTTTGATTCCATTATTTTTCATGTAATATATTTTACGTATTATTATTATCAAATTTCCTTATAGGGCAGCAATTTTTGTCCGATTTTGATTAAATTTGGGTTAAAGGTGTAAGGCAGGATAAACTTGAATGAGTTTGTGAACCACCATGATCGGACCATGGAAACGGGGTTTTGCGGTCTAAAAATTGGGTTTTGTCATTTTTGAACCTCAAAACATAAAATTCCTTTATAAACCTTCTTAAAGAGGTTAAAAACCAAATAATTTAGTATATCAAAGTGTTTTTGTACGGTTATTGGTACGTAACAGAGAAAATTGTAAATTTTCAATTTCCATGTTATTCTTATAGAGAATATTGTAAAATGTTGTAGTTTGCTTGTTAATGGGTATATTTTGACCAAACTTCGCAAATTTATTTATCTTATACAAAGCTATTAATATTTTCTTAAAACACATTATTTATTCATTTCCTTCAAGCAGCAAATTAAGTACTCGTTAATGCTAATGTTATTTAAATTTAATTGAAAATCAATTCAAACATATGAGAACTCGCTCAGTCGGCAGGTTTGCTGCGGTGTTTGCTAATTAATACTAATTACCTACGTGAAATTAAAATGATGAGCTTAAATAACTGTTGAATTTAGTAAGAGGAATCATAAAAATTTTGGTGGGTTATGTGAGTTCTAGAATTCTGAGGAAATGATTGTGTCTTAAATGTTCCTTAGGAAGAGTTTAGTACGAGAAGCAACGTCTAGGTTTTCTCTCGGGATTTTATTGCCACCGTATAAAATATTTTAAGACAAGATATTCACAAAAATATTGATGTGACACAATAAGTGACAAATCGTGACACGATACGATTTGACAAGACTTAAAGGCCTGTAAAGACTTAAATCAAACTTACAAGTACAATGTTTCAAGTGATACACAGGCGAATTAAGGTGAATATGACAAATAAAATGTTCTTATACAATTTACAACCCAAATTAAGTATAAACAGTTAAATTGTTATTCGTAACCAGCCTCTTTTATAAATATATGTTTTACAAACTGTAAAAACTCCCACTGATGTTAATGTGGCAGTCTTACTATGATATAAAAATCTTCTCCATATTCGTCCATAAAGTATTAAAATTACTAAATGGGACACAGCTAACACTTGACGTAAATTATCATACATACTGTTCCCACACCAATTTAAAGGAGTATGGTACCCCCTTGTGTTCAGGCTCAGAGTAAATACACAGGTATTTTAGGTATTACTTTGAAGTTCAGGTAAATTTTCTCCACAAATATTAATAAAACAAAATGTCATTTTATAAAGAGATCTTCATAATTATGTACTTTATGTCAATACTAAGTGTTTTTTTGTCACGGTAAATAATTAGATTTCCACTAAACAAATCTGAAGATTCTTCTTTTCTGATATCGTGACAATTACATAAAATTGTAGAATGTTCATTAATACACTTAATATACAATAATTTGCCTAAATGATTGTTGTCATTGAACGTCTAAATAATTCTGTAAAATCCGGTACCGGTAAAAAAATATCCATCTCTTAGTAGTGAATACCTTTTGCTTATACATGCATAAACCAAATTAACAAAGGGCAATATCGTATTATTAGAAAATAAAAATAATCTTTAAATGAATCCTCACCCAATCTCTGAAATGGTTAATAATTAATAGTTTATAATTTCAATAGACAATCATATGTAATGTAAAGACACTTAATTACCACCTGTCAGCTTTAAAAAGTTACGGCTTGCCAGCTTCTTTTTGAACGTAAACGCTGTTGTTCTAAAGTTCTTAGTAACCCACCACATGATTATATGCTACACGACGGAACCTCTCCACTCCGTGTCGACCTGCACTGAACTGTCACTGAGTTGTAATGACTGATAATTGCTTTTTAAATAAGAGACAATAATGAATGCGATTAACTCAGGCAACCGCTATTCCATGATAATGTCAGAGTGTAGGCTTTCCAACAAGCCTATCGCCACCACCCTAAGACCTGTCATTGGACAGTGCGCTACAGGAAATAGATCGGGGGGTTTCCCTCACCCTGTATTTCAAGAAAATTTCATTAAGAGATACCAAAATACATTTATGGTTAAAGATACAGATCCCTCAAATTTTGGTGGATAGAAAATGGACGGTAATCATGTTTATTCCATTCTAATAAATATGGCGCTTGTTAATTGTTACTTAACTTCATGCTTGAAAAACTCACAAAAGACGTCAATGAATACGACGAACGTTGGTCTGAATTATGCTCGAAGGTATGAATTTAGATTCAATAGTGTATTAAATGATACGGAAGAATAATTTAAAAGCCCCTTTGTTCTATGGTTTCCACCTTACTCTTATTTATACAATGTCATTGGTTATTGCATGATCAATTGTCCTTTTGCAGTCATTATTTTAGTCTCATTTTGTTATTAAACAATTTCAAGCTTAATACATTTTCATTATGAAAAAGATAAGAGTTTGTGAAATGTCTGATAACTTAGTATGGCGAAACGGTTCTAAACTTTATAGAGGTTACTAAGACTTGAGTCTGGTTAATCTCAAATCTACCTTAGATAGGCCTATAGCGGCCCCTCTTGAATAAATTAGCATTAAACATCTCCTCCTGTCAAAAAGGGTTACTGTGAGAATCGCAACTAAATTATCTTGCATAAATTAAACGACTTTTATCTTTATCTTTGCATAGGTTCAATTTATTAAAATATTCACTGAAATAATTTGCGAGGGACCATCTTTTTACAACTATTATCAATGTTATTACCAAACTAACTGCATTAGTGATGCAGTACACAAAAATGTATTGATTTTACATTGAATCATTTGTAGGGTTAATATGAAGTTCAAAATACATTTTTATTGCAACAGAGTAACAAATCTCAAACTGGAAAATAAATAACCACTAAAACTCAGGTGATTAAAACTCTTTAGACATAGTAATAATTTTACTTCGCATACCAATTTTTCTGAATAAAAAAAATATTTTCTTTAACTCTTAGCAATGAACATGTTACCAAAAGACCAACAAACATCTTTTGAAGACTGAAACTTAAGTTTTAAAATATGTTGGTTTTAAGTTCCATTAGGATAAATAGTATAGGTATACATAATTAGAATGTTGAGGATGTTTTGAGACACAAATTTGTCTTGCATTTAGTTTTAATGCTTTGAAGCAATATTCATTCTTAAATTACTTTTAAATACTTTTAAACCCGGAATCTAATCTTGTACTCATTGAGTTCAAAACTTAGTGGATTGTTATTGTGCAATGAACTATAATTATTGTAACATGTAAAAATAGCTACAATGAATCTCCTGTTTACCAACACCACAAGTAGGGCTTTCTCATGACAAATGACAACAATTGATCTATTATTGGGTTTTCAATTTTGTAAACAGCAAATGCAATTTTGGTATAAAACAGATGTATCTAAGTACAAATTAACTTAATAACTTTAAAATACACAATGTAAAGGCTCACGTAGTCGACGTATGAGTCCGCCAACATATTGCCAAGGTTGCATTCTTCCAGCCTACAGGCCGAGTTTTCCTTGCTTAGGAACACGGTTGAGTAACCAACTACTCTGCTTATTTTGTCATGAAGTTCCTTCTCGTAGGGCCTAAGTGCCGCTAGCACGTCCGGATCTGTAATCAATAGAACCCATAAGTGAATTATCATAGTAGGCCCAACTACCAAAAATCCGTATGCGTTTACATATCATATACTTAACAATACCAAAGTTTGCTTGCACAATTATTTATTTGAGAAAAACTTACTGAACTAAAATTGTAATAAAGGTACCACTATGGTATACACGAATAAAGAGTGGACAGCACTTTAATAGCGGATATTACGCTGTGGATACAATAATATACTGTATATGATACATTTAAACAAATGTAAATGGAAATTAATGTCTTACGTAGTTTGTGATAAAAATATTAAAAAAATACCATTATTATATCATTCCTATGATTAATGAAAATAATATAGGCTACACTTAAATTCCACTTTTTTCATTTATCACTTCTAATATTTTTGATATCATGTTTCTTTTAGTGAGATTAATTAATTAATCCATTTAGATCAGAAAAAAAATTAAAGCAGTTATTTCTCAAGTAATTTTACAATTGTTTCATGTGATTTTAGGTCAGTATTCCACTAAAAGAGATAGCAGGAATAAAGGCCTGCGGGATTTATAGTTCAAAATCATTTACTGAGAGATTCAGTAAAAATACTACCGGTTCTGTTATCTAACAGTATAACGCCGTAACGAGTGATTGCCTTTTTATTATAAAAATAATTCTTTATTTACTATTTTGGTATGAATTTTGAAGTTTATTTCAAACAACATATCTTAAACATATTCAAAACAATGAACGCATAAAATAGTGTTCTTATTTAAACCAGAGAGGTGCTAGAGAGAGCAAATCACATAACTTCAAACATTTACACGACATTGAAATACGCGTTTTTTATCTCAAGGAATACATCAGATTCAACGAATGTTTCTGACAGAGGTTGTTGATGAATTCATTAAGAGATAAATTCTGTGTGGTGTCAAATATACAACAGCGGTTGAAACATGTCAACCATCTGCCAATCCATTGTTCTATAACGCAACAATAGAAATTGTTTACTCCACAACCGACTTCATCTGTCTCGTCGTGGTGTTATAGTGCCTTGTTACTACGTCTTTTGAGTTTAACATTTACTTGCCATATTAGCATCTTTCTCCACAATATATTATCATTGACTGATTCATAGTCAATGATATTATGTTAGAGGTATATTATTATAACACTCTCACCTCTTACCAGTGAAAAATGACTATCGGTTTCTACCCTAGAAGATTGTTTCTAATGATATATAACCCCCTACGAATTTTAATCATCAATCCTCTTTTAGATGACTCTGGGCTTAATGTTCTCTATCTGTTGATTTATCATAACGACAAGCAAACACCAACAATGAATGTTATAGAGAATGTGTTATACTGGAAACGGAAAATGGAAGATTATACATCCTGATGGGTACAATCTTGCACAACCTGCTTTTCATGCAAATTGCAATCTGCACAATGCTACAATGCTCTTCAGTATTAAAAAGTTTATAATTAAAAATGATAAAAATGTTAAAATTACTTTTTCAATTAATTTATTTTATACATTCTGGCCACAGCCAGCAAAGAAACTGAGCTGACTTACCTTGAGGCAAGTTGCCACTCAAAAGTATTGGCTCTCCATTCCAACTCTTCAGGTTTCCTCCGTCGTCAAAGTCCAACTCCAGGTATCCGAGGTATTTAGTGCCGTAGTATGCTTGGACCACGGGCACCTTCTTGCCACTGGCTTGGGTTATGACTGTAGGGTAGTCTCCTATAGGGATATCTTCAGGGTCTGGTGGAGTTCCTACGAACGAATAAATTAAATAATTATGAATATGACCATATATTATAGACAGTTATGTTGTCTTAAGTATTTCAGGGTTAAAATTACCTAAGAGTGCAAGAACAAATTAAAAAAGCTCAAAAGAATAACATCAGTGTTTTGCAAGAAAGATCTAATAGTTACAAATTGATGAATAGTTCTTCTGCTTCTCTAAGCAAATGTAAACAAAGTTGTATAATCGAAGAAACTCTGGCATCACTTCACTTCATTGCTTTATAAGTTTTTATCTCTAGATAGTAAAAAGACTTTGTGGCCTTAACTATTTTATGGCTTAAACTAAGAACTTTTATAAGAAAAATGCTGTAGAATCTAGGTAATGACCCAGCTCTTGTTGGCCCATCATCTTTAAAAGCTGCCCACCTCTTGTTAACTACTTTCTTATTTAGGGTACCACTCTATATATGCTTTTAACTTTACTGCTTCAGTTCTCTGTTCAGACACTCATTAAGGGCTTGTAAAAGGGCCTTCTAACTTTATACTCATGAAGAAGCACAACAAGTTATTAGCTGGTGGTGAAATGCTGGTGGAAAGTCAATATCAAAATTGAAATATTCTACTTACTGAATAATTTTTAGTTACATCTTTATTTTTCATAAATAAATGAAGAAAGAGCTGTTTAGTTTCATAGATTTTTACAGTCTATTAAACTCACCGACGAAATTCTCTTAAACGGCAAATTTATCATTAGGTTTTAACAAGGAAAAAAATCCCGGGCAACATCCTGTCACCCGTGACCATTTCTCATCGTAGCAAAAGTTAAAAGGGGGTTTGTGGGCTGAGCTCCCAGCGAGCCAAAGGCGAGTGTATATCCTGCAAAACTACAAACGTAACCGTTCGAAGTATAAATGGTTTTTTTTTGCAATTTTAAACAATGAATAATGGAGAACAGGAGGTCTACAGTTAGCAATGTAATTCGAATAGCTACGGTATGTAACAGATATTATAAATCAAGTATCAGAAATCAATTATCTGTAGCAAATCAATCTTTTGTTTGATTGTAGGGCGAATGCATTATACAAGAGCAAAGATGAGATACTAATGGACACACATCCACTGAACACCACACGGGCAATGGGTCAATGGGGGGTATAACAGTGTGTCACTAGACTCACAATACGAGTCTCCCGTTACTAGATGGTAGACCTCTAACATTACATACTAGCTTGCGGAGTAGCCCAGCAAATGTTTTTAACAACATAATTTCGATAAATGCATCTACCAAGCTATATGGCAGCCAAGAATGACTACCTGATTATTCACAATTGTCTTTGTTAGGATGTTTCTAACAGTTAAAGAAATATGAGTGAGAATTCTTCATCGAGTGTGCGGGGAGATTTTGGTCTTAGCGAACAACAGATCTAGACCACGGCTCAACTTCCATCCGTAGACTTGAATCGTTACTTGAGTCCAATCAAAGCCAAGAGTAAACCAATTCCAGATTCCCAATAGGGATTTCTGCTGCTAAATAGTCTACGTTGTTGGACAAGATCCATAAAAATAGTAAGAAATATCATGAAACCAATATGACCTCCATGTTGCTTCATATTAGTTACCAGTGTACAAGAAGGTGTGTGAGTGACCTCCGACCACGAGGTCTATCTCCTCGACCTCCTTGGCGATTTGTTGATCTATGACGTACCCAGAGTGTCCGAGAGCGATCAAGATCTTAACGTTCTCAGCGCGTAGTCTCTGTGCCTCTTTGCGGATACTAGGAATCTCGTCAAGAAACTTAACCTTCCTCACATGGGCCAGAAACTGGAAACAATAACAACATACCTAAATATTGTCTAATATTTCTATTAAATTTTTTTTTGCCAAGTGCTTATACTGTAGTGATTATTAGATAATTAAAAGAATATAATAAAAATAGTTAGCAATAAAGCTACACTAGTCATCTCATAAATCACATTTTTATATTTCAATCATTGGCTGCACTTTTCACATTGCGTCTGACAACGAAAACGTATGTGCATATACATGACAAGTTATGGATTGATATGAGTTAATTTAAAATCTATATTAGATAGTAATACAGTTTAACAAATGAAAATCACTTTCTTAAAATTAATGATGGGATGTTGATTTTTATCTACATTCGTCACAATGTAACAGGCTCAAAATAAAGGACACAATTAATTTAAAAGTAAGCACACTACACTCCAGTTCAAAATTATTTAAATTATAAACAAATACAATTTTCATAGAAAATCACTTAAATTTATATTGAACACTTTTTGTAATGCATGATTTTTCGTTCAAGATTCAAAATGATAGTTCATAAACTAAATCCTGGTTTATTGGTATTGAAACTCATGTGTCAAGTTGAAAGTTCAATAAAACCTAAAAATTAAAAAAATGAAGCTTATTTCTCTAGTTCTTCCATTTACAATAGAATTCAATTTTACAATAGTAGTGTTACACCCTACGACGTCATCTTTATTCAATTCCAATTTTTCTCGAAATCCAATGTGCTAACACTAAGGCTATCAACAACCATATTTAACACTCTTCAATTAAACATTACAAAATAATTATGTGAGTTATGAATTTGGTAAAAACAATGGTTCCTCATATATTCATACAGCTTGTTACTCATGAATTATTGATAATTGGATTGTATTGTCTTTCGAAATCATTTCTAAACACAATTAATAAGCGTAGCTTTTGGCAGTTAAGGTCAAAGCAAGTGAAATGTTAAAGATCATTGACTAGTCACATTCCTCTTCATATCATATCTTAAATCGTGTACACTGCAAAAACTATATTAGTTAAACACAGATTAAATAACAATTTCCTATAGATATTCTAAAAGGTCTGTTACGATATCGTAGGAGTGTTTCTATTGACAGTAAAACACCCCCGTTGCTCAAAGATAATGCAATGCTTTAGTCGTGATAGCACTTAGTATCTTATTTCTATATATGTCATTAACGCCAGGATAGGTCCTAAAAGTACTATCGTTACTCTACCTCAAATTAACTAATGACTCACATGCTACGGAATTCGACTGTCCAAAAACTTTGATAAGGTACATAGGTGTTGAAAATCAAATATCTGAGAGCTCTTACCTTGAAATCCTGGCGTCAAATAAGCCTCGATTACTTATGATGTATAGCAGTGTCAGGTATTCGAAATCCTGAAACTTTTGTCTAGTTGCCAAGATGTTCGCCAGGATACTTGATATCCAATGGTATTAATCTATTGCACCTGGCGCTAGTGACGTTAAATTGCCCTTACCTCCGGTACGATATCTTGGTATCCATAGGAATTGTTGAAGACTTCTGACACTACTAACGTAAAATTACCTGAATTTTAGCTTTGATACCTTGGTGTCTGGTGTCAAATAACCGATGACTCCTATCTTGACATTGCCAACGTTTAGGATGTATGAAGGTGTCAAGTTAGCCTCCTGTAGTCTCTGCTCTAGGGTGGTGTTTAGGTTGCTGCAGACATTCGGAACCGACACATTCGCAATGTATTGAGATAGGCTCTCAACGCCGTCGTCAAACTCGTGGTTTCCCAGGGACTGAAACATAATACATGTTCGTACCACTGCATTGAAATGATCACATTATCATACACTTCGTATGAACAGTACGCAAAATAGCTCATTGTCGCTCTAGAGTGGGAATGGAAAGTTTTCGCTCGCTAAATCAGCTGATTTCACAGTTGTCGTTTCCACACTAATCACAGCCGCGGATCCGGTACATACATTAGTTAATCACCGGTAAGCAAATAACATAACCATAAAAAAGCAAACACAACATACGTTACATTTTATATACATGTAAAAAGTGAATCTGTGTGTTATTATAAGTTAGTTAGTGATTGGAAAAATCTTGTGTGGATTATGAGCACAAATAGTCACTGCCATCTACAGTTCTCGAGCGGCAATGACGTACTTTGCACTCTTAGTACAAAAATAGCTATTCGAGCGGCAATGACGTACTTTGCACTCTTAGTACAAAAATAGCTATTGATGTTAAATATATAACTACAATTGTATATTTCGATAATCCTTCCATGCTTAAAAGCCTCTCGAAAAGATAGCAGTATGATCTAGGCATAAAGTATAAACATTACACATCATCTGGATGGGTCCACAGGGGAGCAAACTTAAAACTATTGCTAAAACAGTTTTATCCACCATCACAACCTTCACTTAAAACTGCGTTCCCTTCTAGTGTATTAGTGGGTTCGTGGTATCAACCACAAAATAATAGGCCCTGGAAAAATAATTTTCTGGTTCTTTGGAGTATTTCACCTTCTGGCTAAAGACAATAAGATATCTACACAAACATCCATGCACTCTGCTTCATCCTATTTAAACAATTCTCTTGACCGGTAGTTTGATCAGTTGAGGTTACCATATTATAAATATTTTACAAAAGTAAACATACTTTTCACAACTAAGTTCTCGTTAATCATAATATTGTGTAAGCTTTGGAAAAGGAAAACATTTTTTTTTTTTATATGTTTATAAAAATACAATCGGACAAATATAAATTTGGCTAGTCTGTAAGTTTGCTGTGCCGGGTGTATCTTTTCTGAAAAAGCATTATCAACAAATATTAAGATAACCTAAAGATCACTTATTTTACACTAACCGATATTAAGCCTAGTAGTTTCATTCAATACTCGAATAGCAAGCTGGCCACATGTAATGTGTATTGTTTGACCTTGGTGCCTATGACAGGTGTTTGCTACATGGTAGGCCTACATCTACCACATTTTTTACGTAACGCACCAAAATCAACACTTTTTTATTACTAATTGAAGTTTCGTCTTCTGTTGCAGAAAATAACCTTCACTAAAATAAAGGCAATATCGGACAAATACCATCGAACACTCTAATATACTCGATGTTATTTAGTAAAATATTTTAAAATTGTTTAACTTGTTGAAATGAGTGCAGAAAGTGCAAAACGACAGCTTAAATAAATAATTAAAGCAATTTTAAATTTTGTCTGGTTTAAAATCGATCAGATAACGCCCGTACGTTAGTTTTGGTATACAGAGCCATGTATTGAGCTCAAGTCCAGAAGAACTGTGTCTATCGAGGTCGGCTCTTCTGAGTCCAGCGTAGAGTAGAGTGTTTTGTGTGTCGCATCTGTCTTCCGCATTTCATTCAGCCTGGCAGTGATGGTGGTTGACTGAGTTATACCTTGTTATACTAAATTATACCATATGACTGAGTTGTATTAATAGTCAAAGGTTATACCTATCTTAACAATGAGAGGACAGGAGACAGTCAGTCTAACAACTGAGTGTGATATTGGCAGGTACACAGCTGTGAAATATCTTAAATAATTAAAAACGAAAATCAAACTTACCATCACATCAATCCCGAGCATGTCTACAAGCTTGGCCACAATCTCCCACTTAAAGAACGTGTAGTAAGGAGTTCCCTGATAGTTATCACCGGCATTCAGGAATATCGTGTATCTTCCAGCAGCAGCGGCAATCTTCTTCTGAGCCTCCACCGTGGTCTTGAGTCGGGCGAATCCTCCGTAACAGTCTGGCGAAGAGTCGTCCAGACACAGGCCGAGATAACGGTCAGCCTGCTGGAACCTTGCATGCATGTCGTTGGTGTGCAGCAGAAGGACTTTCAAATCCGCCAGGCACAGTGTGCCCAAGGAGACCACAGAGAGTATTGCATACAGGTACATGGTATCAGCGTCCGATACGTTTGTAAAGCCGGCTAGAACTCACAATAACTACAGATAAATACCTACCTCGGTGTGCAAGGTGTTAAAAACAGATGTTACCACTCTACGTTTAAAAGTCACTGCCGAATTTTGGTTTGGCCTTCAAACCTTGTGTGTGCACAAATGTATTAGAAATTAATTGGTTACAATATGGACAAATTGACATGCCCTCGCCCTCTTTCAGTGTGTCATTTACAGTTAATGAGACAGGTTTATTATGGTAATTTAATTAAAGGTTTAATTAGTGCTTAGGAAAATTGTAAAAATTTCCTTGTGGGGTATATTATTATCATTAAGGGGCTTAGAGTAAACCGATTCCTTTTTTAAACCTATTTCACCAAAGTAAAACTGTGTCGTTATACTAGACTAGCTGTGTGCCCGTTCTACGCACGGGGATCTTATAGTAGTCAGTTGAAACCTTCTTATATTAAGAACAGCAGTTAGTTTGCATATTTGCAGATATGCTGGCAAATCTATTATATATAAACCTTCGCAAATACAGTATCTGACAGTTCAAGCCAAAAGAAGTGCTTCGCAATTAAATGCCACCCGGATCGTGTTTGTCCATATGTTAAATCAAATTATTAAACAAACAAAAAAATGCTTTATAGATCCATGAGGCGTAGCTCTAAGGTAGGCCTATAATTGACAGTTACTTTCCACAATGGTTAAACGTATTTAAAGTACTACCTCAAACTCACCATTTAACACTTTATTCTGGTTGAAATTTTCATTATCAAAGGTGCTTTTGTCCACTCCGTGAAACACTGAGAAATAAGGACATTAATGCGTTACCAACACACGTACACACAAAAATACAGAATTTAACTAAGAAATTGGCTACGCTTTAAGCATAACAAAGTACATATAAAATTAGTATTTGAAATCTTTGTTAATGTCATCAAATTTTATCATAATAATTTATATTTTCTTCGACCGAAGATGACCCGAAATGCTGTCAAAATGACGGCTTACTATATGAAATGAAGTACATAGACGATTTAGATTGGTAATTTAGAATAAAAATTACCAAAATAGGCCACGAACTATTGATACATAAACAACGTAAAGGCGTAAACAATTAATTCATGACGGTTTGCTCAACAAATGTTTTACTCAAATGGGTTATCATTTTCTTTGCATACCGGGTAATCTAAGATTTTGGAATCCAAACAGAAAAAGCAAAACTTATACAGTTAAGACATCAATTAAATTGAATACGGCTCTAATAAGGTGCAACACCAATGATAACTAATTTGTAAATTACCAGATATGTGTTGGTACGTAAAAATGATTCTTGCAGCTACCAACGGTTCTAAGGAAAAGAACCAGTACCAAAAACCAACGTTTACAGTTAAGAACTGTAGTACATCCGACCAATTAAATGCATTACTCATGTCCCGAGGTTATTGATCTCTTGGTTTTGGATTTTCTCGTAAAAGGTTATCGGAAATCAAAGTTATTTCCTATTAATTGTTTTATTTTTAAACGATTTTTAATGTAAACTTATTGGTGTCAGTTTGAAAAAAAAACCTTTATACAAACAACTTTTTGCCATTCAATAGATTACGTATTCTCTAAACAATGATTGGTATCTATATAATTAATACGCTACATGAAACTTTGTCGGTTGAACTCCTCCGCCATTTCTACACCGATTTCATCCATTGACGTCTCATTGGAAAGAGCGTGTCGCGTAGATTTGCAAACTGGCCTTACATTTTTGAAAAGGTCCCTTGGGCCATGCCCCAGTGGCTTTGAAAGTTCCCATGTTATCCATATGGAAAACATAATTTTTTACATTTTGATCAGCTGTATAATTTAATTGCTGTTATTTATTTTTCAATTCAATGAAACGCATTGAGTACATTTATTTACTATTTTAAGTTTGAGTAAACATAACCCCAAGACAGATCGTGTTAGTATGGTTGTATCTCAGATATGTGTATTTATCATTGTTTTGTGTAGCTATGACGGATCGTGTTAGCATGATTGTAACTTAAATTTGTTATTTGTTGTTTTTTTTTTCTTTTAAATGCCTCCGATGCGACGACAAGGAAACAAAGACAGGAGGCGTAATCGTGATAACGACCGCAGCTCAATCTCAACTATTAGGTTACAAATGCGCCCTAACACTACCCCAAAACGAATTTTCGTTCTCAATTGGCCCTCTATCAATGACCTATGTTGCCTGTACAGCGAAGCATTTTGAGGAGGAGAAACCGGCCGGAATGCTTTAGGTTTATCAATAACGAAGATAAACCAATGTAATACAAACTTAAGGTTTTAAGGAGGTAGAATCTCTTAAGGTTTTTGTCCATACAACCTTATATGGCTATAAGTCAGGAAATGTTTGTAGAAAAAAACAATACCGTACCAGAGGTTATGAAATGATACAATATTTACAGGAAATGTTGACTACTGTTTTATATACATCGTGAGTATCTTCATGAGCGTTCACCGGTTATCTTTGAGTTGACTCTTTTAAACACATTGTAAATAACACTATTATTCGTTTTGAAATAACTTCTGTAATACTTTGCAATTGCTCGAATTCGAGCAACATGTACACTAGTATACATTAACATTAGAAGTGAATTTGACAAAAATCACACAATGTTGGGTTTTTTTGGACATTTGTAATTTTATTTCTTAAGTAGGTAAGCCATGTATTCTAGGGAAAAGAACCGGTATCAAGGATCATTGTCGAAAAGGTTAGGAAAAGGTCTAATAATTGGGTAGTCGTACGTACCCAAGAGAAGGGCTCTGGTCCTATTGGCTGTATGGTCCAGCGATTGCATCACACGGTGAGTAGAAACAGAAAGTGACACATTGGAAAAGCGAGTTTAGCATCATCCGTAAATCTCTGTTAATTCACCCACTGCAGTTGTGATCTTTTACTTTACACTTTACACAACCGCCATTGAGGCGCCGTCAATGACTGGAACCTTGTTCGTAAGCTATTGGCGATGATCATTAAGTGTCCTAGCCCCATACAACTCTGATTTAATGCCTTCTTTCTCGTTATCAAAACTCAAGAACAATTTTATACACAAAGAATTTCTGGTTCCTGACCTGGATGATGCCTAGTTATTTAATTTCATTTACGGTTACACTATAATATTGTACTTGCGATTAATTAAATACGTTATTTAAGAAAAACGTTTTTGATCTCACTTGGTTGGGATTTGCTTTCAAAACATGATCGGAAATGGTTGCGGTATTTGTTAACATCATTTGTAAACATATCAGTGACAGCTATAAAAAATACCTTGATCCGAACAGCTGTTCGTTATTTCATAGATGGTTATGTGATAAAAATTGAACGAAAATTTGAAAAAAATCGCACAAAACTGCATTTCTGAACGTCCGTAATTTTATTTACAATGTAGTGAGGCCATATTTTAATGGCTAAAGACACTCTCGCCAATCCAGTGGATACATTAAAATGACTTGGATCTTGATAGGTACTCTCGTTTTCATGGAGAAGATAGCGTAAAATGCCATCTTGAGTGTGACAGACAGACAGACAGAAATAGAGATAAGACTTGTTTCTGCTTCTTTAATTTATAAAACGTAAAAATAACCTAAAAATATATAATTCTGAGCAATGTACAGACAAAACTCTAATTTTATTTATATAGAAGATTTTTAGTAGACTCCTGAAACATTGATCGAACATTTATTGAATTCCTTCGGTAAACATTATTTTTATTGGCAACAATTTATTACAAATTACGGAAATAACTATGAAACTATGAGTAAGACCTACTGAATAATAAGCGTTTACATTTTATGCTCATTTTATACACAAGCCCAACTGTTTAAGTAGTGTCCTCTTTTACCAAACAATATGTGAACTCTTTCAGTGAGCGAATTGGAGAACATTTTTTACTTTTATACGATAACTTTTTACAAATTTAGACATAGAATTACGACTGTAAAATAAAATTTAAAATTATAAATAAGGTTTTTAAATTTCAAAAATGACGAAAACTGTTTTAAATTATCATTAATTTAGAACTATACAAAGCCTGGTTTCACCATATTATTACGAAAAACAGCGTTTTACATTAAAGTGAGGTTTATTATCGTATGTTCTCAGTATGAAGCCATAAGTATGACAAACATCAGCCATTACAGTGAACTACAAGTCTCTATCTCTAGACACACTCGTGCAAATCTCTGCATTCTCTTGCATATATCAAGTTTATTTTGGGTAATATACCTCATATACGTCAGATTTTAGTTAGACAGGCAAGGTTTATATTTTAATTATTACATACCTTTTGAAAATAGCGTAAGCTTTTTTTCTAACAGTTGTTCGATGAATTAAATTATATTAGATGTATATAAGCGTACCCATTAAATTTGAAAATTGTATAAACTTTCGTTACCCTAAAAACACTGAAACTACACATGTAATTTTTTAATACAAAATTCGTTACTGTGAAGAAAAAAAAACTTTCACAATTCTATGTAATCTTTCGTACTATAATTTGTGAAACTCTTAACATGGAAGGTAAGAATTCAGCCACCGGAAATAAATATTAGTCAGAGTTTTAAACAAATATGTGTATTTCGAATCATATATTTAAAATACAAATTTATAAAAATAATGTTTCTTACAGAATATTAGGTTTTGGGTTGAAACATATGAGTTAGTAATTACCACTTACCTTATGTTTACTAATTCGATTTCTTTTACTTATAAAAAAGTGTTGTTAAGCTAAAATGTTCTTCTAATAACAATAACATATTTAATTTAATGACAGATTTACAAACGTTTTTACCTTAAAACTAGTAACAAATAAAAAATATAGGCTGAAAAATTACGACCATAAAATAAAAACGAATGCTATATCACAGTCATTTTAATAACATTTTTGCATATCATCGATAAATTTAATCAATGAAATTTGATCACAAATAAATGTTTTTATCACTTTTGTATTATTTTGGTTTGAGTCCACAGTATATAGCTCACTGGCTATGTTATTGAATTTTTTTTAAGTATACCTCCAGAATATTACAAGGTTATTTATTAGCGCTATCAAGGGACACAGTCGAAATATCATATCTAGCTAGGGTTTTATACCGAACTTTTTAAGTATTCAGCAACGGTCAAACGATGTACAGAAGTGTTACCGACGTGTAATTAGTGTTGCTGACGTGTATATGTATACACAAATATAAATATCGTTTCTGTGAAGAACTTATGTACTCGTTTCTCGTGTAGATGCGTAAAATCTATAAAACAATTTGACTTATTTAGGAAACCCTTAACATCCATATTAGTACAGCTAATATAGAAAGATTTAAGATACTAGACGTGTATATCGTCGTTGCTGAGGAAGTTCCGTTAGTATTGTTCTGAACGACAATGCGACCCTCCACAGCTGGGTAGACCGGGGAGTGTTTCTCTATGTACTGGGAGAGGACCACGTAGTCGACGTCATCTGGGAACATGAAATATTATATTACATTGGGTACTTTTAACCGGATAGCTGACAACTCAAACTTTCTCTCTTGTTCAGCCAATTTAGAGGGCCAAACACACATTCTTTGTTCAGGACACCTCTTCCAAGCCCGCCTTTCAATATCTTAGACTAGTATCAAGATCCCCCCTGTTATATTTTGGAACTATTATTTAAGCTAAGAGCACCTAGAATCTTACCAAGCAGTTCGCAAAGTCCGTACTACAGGCTAAGAAGATAAATCTTCCATAATCGGCCTAATAAATCTATACAGAATTTTAAAGAAGTCTTAGTAGTGTAGTGAAAAAAAACTAGCACCAGGTATAATGCCAAAGAGAGCCATGCTAGTGTCCTAAAAGTTGAATATAATTTTAATGTGATAGTCCAAGAGACATCGAGACCACTGGAGTCCGGTACTACTAGGTTAGGGGACACTGAGCATTTTGGTGTGCGAAAATCATATTAACTTTTCCCTCACAAGAAGTAAGTAAAGAGTTAACAAATGCTAATTATGGAGGGTTCTCAAAAACTGACAATGTTTTTATTGTATTTGATTAATTTGCTTCTTGTGCTATCTAGAAAATTGTAGATAAAGCTTAAGTAGATTCCAACCTACTAAGTAACGAAGTTATCAAAAGAAATTTCACTTTGTAACTAGCAAAGCTAGATCTCAATTTTTTATGGCTGAAGCTTTATGCTATTGACTGAAATGTCCCATTGCAGCATTTACACGAAGTTAAAAGCTACTTAACTTTTCATTTCATTCCTAATAATCAGTCGAAAAGTCAAAGATCAGAATCGAATCATCGTATATTGATTTTGCTTAGAGTCAAACAAACCATTTTATTACAAATTACATCATCCAAACGAAGTATAGTAACATACCGAATATGTAAGAGTTAGGTATGCCGGTCAGCATACTGAAGCCATCCCCTCCGTTCCCAATATAATCTGGCATTGCAACCTGGTAGAGGGAAGACTTGTTGAGAGGCGTGTACTCAGGTTCTGTACAGTCTGCACAAAGTACCTGCACACTGACGACTCTACTTCCAATGGCTGCCTGGATGTTGTACACTATCTTTAGTCCTACAAGTAAAAGAGGAAATCAGGAGTAATTGATTACAACAACATACAATCGCTATAGTAGTTTATCTATGAGATTTACATTAATGCTGAAGCAATCCGTGACCTATGTGGTTAAATGGTATATGAACGAAACTGTAGTAATTCAATCTGTAAACCATCCATCTTGAGAATGGAGAGGAACCGTTACAATTACATTATCTTTGATACATTTTATTGTATACATTATGTTCTTTTGCCTGAATAATGTAAGTAAAGACATACTACACAGTGAATACTATTATGAAAAAGCTATTAATTTGAATCAAAAGAGTGGTTCTATTGACTACGTCGTAGAGATACCTAAAGGATTCTTTGGCCGTGGCGAGGCGACCCTGTAACAGATACCTGTTAGTGCTACCTGTTGGACCATACGGTGGAGAAGGGAGGGGAGGGTGTGCCCGGATCTGTTGCACTGTCATGCCCATTACCTCCCCTACATTTCCCCCACCAACACCCCCTCAACCACCCTTTGCTCCTCACTAGGGTAGCGGCTACCCCAGTGTCGTGTGTAGTGCCACCGCTCTGGTTACATCTCAGCTTTAATATGCTTTGAGAAAGGTAATTATTTGATTTATTTAGTTATTTGATGCTTTATTATTCGGTTTGATTTTGAAACATATTTAAGTAGTTTTCCAATTAGATAAATTAATGCTGCTCAAATTATAAGTACCGTACGTCAGTGTTCACCTTACTTACGTGTAAACCTTATTTTTATTACAAAATGAGCTGATTTTTATGGGTGGAAACATAACATCTATAAATATAGATATATTTTGTAAAATGATATCTAGATTAGTACACCTGAATATATCTCCTGAAGGACAAATCATAGTCTATTTATTTACCAAAGACTTATTTCACAATTAAGTACTGTATTTTTTTTACTAGATACTGGATTCAATTAATTTTTACTGGAAGAGAATTTGTACATGCAAGTTTATAAAAACAATAATAATTATAGTTAACAAGTTGAAAACAATGTACAAACTAGGTTTACAACATCTTGAATAGGAAATGTATAAAAACATAAAAAATACAATATACGAATATATGAAAATTTATGAAAACTTGTCAAACTATTTGTGCAAATTAGTATCAAACTGGATTAAAAACGTATGTAACCAACGACGTAGGCTACTTAAATGGATAACCAGCTACCATTGTGACTAACCAGCTACCTTTGTGACTAACCAGCTACCTTTGAGACTAACCAGCTACCTTTGAGACTAACCAGCTACCTTTGAGACTAACCAGCTACCTTTGAGACTAACCAGCTACCTTTGTGACTAACCAGCTACCTTTGAGACTAACCAGCTACCTTTGAGACTAACCAGCTACCTTTGAGACTAACCAGCCACCTTTGAGACTAACCAGCTACCTTTGAGACTAACCAGCTACTTTTGAGACTAACCAGCTACCTTTGAGACTAACCAGCTACCTTTGAGACTAACCAGCTACCTTTGGGACTAACCAGAGACATATGTGACTAATCGGACTTGGTAAAAAAGTAGAGGATTGTATGACGAACTAAAGACTTGTAAGACAACCCATATACTTGGAAGACAAACCAAATACATATAAGATAAAACTAGCTATACACTTATAAGGCGAACCATAGACTTCTTAGACTAACTATGTACTTGTAATACTAGCCATATACTTATAAGACTTACCACATACTTATAGAATAACCATAGACTTGTAAGACTAACCATAGAATTATAAGACTAACCATAGACTTGTAAGACTAATCAGACTGACTAGACTGTTGCATTATAAACTAGAGATTTGTTCCACACACCAGATACGTATTAACCGCTTTAACTAACTAAAGCCTTATAATATAATAACAAATAAAAACTATCATGAGTAACAAAAGACTAACCAGCGACTTGCAGGAATTCGTTGACATGTCCTGTGTTGGTCTCCTCGTATCTATGGACCGCGTACTCTAGAACATCTAGTAACGTGCTTCCATTCAATTCCTTCACAACAATCTTGCCTCCCCAGGGTAGCACTGTCATAACGTCCCCTACAGTGATAGAACCTGTGAAAAACAATATACTAATTTATGTTCGTATAAGTTATATAACATTAGTTCTGAATACAGTCAGTGAGGGGATTGGGCTCTGTATACAAGCAGTTGATTGTGCAAAACACAACTAGAAACGAGCAACATATCCTATTTACAAAATTCAGGGAAACAAAACGAAAGAGTGAAAAATTATTATAAAACTTAGTTTGACACAATTTCAAAATTAATAATGGGTAAAGGAATTGATTATACTTTAACATTATAAAAATATTCACGTACACTATTTGATGTTGTGTTCTAGCTATGTAAAACAACGAAAATTTGCTTACTTTACATACAAACTTAGTTTGCAGTATTTAATTTTCCAAAACATTTAAAAATGTTTATTTACTAAACACATTTTTTGTTCACATGTAGAAATTTATTTTTAAACCTCACTATTAGACCTAGGCTTCCATAATCTAAATTAGTTAAATTCATACCTTCGCATTCTTTAAATTCTTTATTCTTTCCAATTTATTTTAACGGATCTTACAAAAAGTTGTAAATTAATATTTGCCTTTACTTTTTTTGGCGTAATTTAATATTATTCCACCGTGATGAAGAAATAATCTTCTATCTTACATAACAACTGATAAAGTAAGTGTTTTTATTAAAAGAACAAAATATCTTCAAACGCAACTATAAAATAGAACTTTTTAAATATAAACTTATATATTTTTTAAAAATCAAATTCCAGTTATAAAGAGATACTATTACTTAATAGTAGTTTACGCAACGATTGCGTAAATATAGTGTACTTAACACTATTTACGCGAGTTTCGTACACCTACGACAGTGTTTTAACTACTAAAAATCACTAGCCTACTCATAACGTGTCATAACTTCTAAGAGAGGTTATGTTTTCGTTTATAATCTCTCATTGATAATGACTCTCATTGATGCAACGAAACATTGTACCAAACACTAATTGCACCACTCAACAATTAAATTGGCCTGAACAGCTGATTAGTTAAAGTTCGAATCATTACAATTTTACTTCTTCTCTCTCAATCCTTGAACCTCAGTGGTCCGTTCCCCATGTTGTTATGAGTAAAACTATGCTGTTATGAAAGTAAACAATGCTGTTATGTGAAACTTTTCAATTCTAAGAACTGAACTGAAACGGCTACGTCAAAAAAAAACGGTCGTAGGCAAATTTATTTATTTGAAATGGTGGCCGTACTTAATTTGAGTTAAAAAGTGTATAGGTTATAAATCAGACCATCTCCTAGTCCTAAACCACATTTTATACTCTTGTTGACAGTTGTACAAGTCCCCACTGACAGGGGCGGCTTCCACTTGTTGCTCAGTTCTATGACCGTAAATTCCCCTCAACCAGGAAAAGATTCAAACTCTTCTTTATATCACAAGGATTTTTCGATTGCGTTAACATCTTTTGTGCCTTTGATAAATTAACAATAAGGGCAACATTTAAAGCATAGAATTGACTACAGAACATATTCTGGACTAACGCTGGCGATGGAATGTGTTTTGCAGTTTTAGAATGAAAATTTTCGTTATAATTGTGTGTAGCCTTACTTTGTAATAATTTATCAATATGGCTTGGTACATTTATTACATTTAAGAATTGGTAGTTGAAAAGGATAAAATTTATAAGGGCAAAATATTATACTATCATTATTTTAAAATTCATTATTTAGCCCCTGAACTGTTTGTTAGACTAATATGAGGTACATACCCTTACGTCAACAGTTCAATTTTGTAGTAAGTAGAACTCACAACATGTTTCGCCTATTCAGGCATCGTCAGGTGGTATCCTAGCAAGAATGCTTTGTCTTCATCCATGATGGAGTCGTCAAGAAACATTTAAATAAATACACACACATTACGCACGAAAACATTTAACAAATAGAGTAGGCCTACTATTACCGGTCGCGGTACGGTTGCCTGAATAGGCGAAACATACCTCATATTAGTATCATTATTTTGTTCCTCGTTTGTCTTTTCTTATTCCTTATGTCATAACCGGAGGGAGAGTGCCGACTAAGAATTTTTAAGAAAAAAATTGTTACATCAGTAAAAAAAAAAATTGTAACAATATAATTGTAAGACAAATTTAATGATTATTATAATCATCATGTTAGAAAAATTAGAGTGATCTAAAAATAAAATTCTAATTTATTAAACATACAATGAATTAAATATCGAAGGACATTTTTAGTAGGCCTACATTAATTTAGTTTTTAATCTAAATCCACACCATAGTTGATATTCTTGGTGGTTTGAATTGAATATATTATTTTTACTAATTAATCTCAAACCCATAAGTTTCTTGACCTAGTAATAACAGTGTAATGATAATCAATCTCAAGCATACACACCATTGCCATTAGTGTTAGTCCTAGTGTTGATAGAGGCACGTATTCCACCAGCTTGTTGAATGGCTACAGAAGCCACAGTCCAGCCCTGACTGTTCGTGTACGCACGAGTAGCCTGAAAAAATGCCAGAAGTATTTAGCTGTACCAAGCTCTTAAATCTAAAACTAAGACCACTCGCTAATGCTATTTTTAATATGGAAATAAATCATCAATGTCTAATGTTACGTCTAATAGCTGGCAATACTGTATTTTTGATCCAATATAGACGGACATTAGAGAAGTCAAAGTCGCGTTAAGTACATGTGAAAGTAGACACCGCCATTTTGTTTATCATATATTTTACGTTAAAATTAATTACCTCGTAAACAATAGTATATTGTTTAAAAAAAGATGGCACGAAAAAAAACGTATAGTACATTTATTGAAATACATTCATAAAATGTATCCTCATGGGCTGTTGGTGTCAATTACATTATTTAATGATTAATTAAAATTTCCAATTGCCTCTTGATGCGAAAGCTCGGGCTCTGCTACTTTAGAAGGAGAACTTTAGTAATCAACATAATTGGCTGATGTTTAGAAACGACAGTTAGCTAAAGACGTTTTTAAACTGCTTATCTAAACAGACATTTATATAAAAGAATTTTGAAGTCTTTCTTCCAATGTTGCTTAATATATTTTTATGGCTATAAAAAAAAAACGCTAATAGTGTTCATAGAACAATTAACTGATAACAGTTCAATAGTTTATAGATAATAAGCTTTTGCTATTAAAATTATTTATATTTTAAGTAATTATTTTATAGGATATGTGTGGGGTACGTGGTTGAACTACTTTGGTAAAAAAAAAAATGTATTACAATGTTTAATTTTGGTAAAAAAAAACAAAAAAACAAATGGAAGTGGACAAAATTACGGTTATTCGTCCTTTTGAACCAGGTATTTTTTTGTATATTAGATTGTTTTTTATGAATAATCTCACCAATGATCGTTTATAGTTATTTTGAAAATGTTTTGTCTCTAAATGCGGGTTTATGCGAGATTTTCACGCGGATTTAAACATTAAACACGTCGATATGATGGCATTAAAGCTCTCGGTAATCAGTAATTGAAATCTCGGTGTGTCGGGTGGAACATTGCAATTTCGTATGTCCTACCCAAAGTTGATTGTTGATTTACCTAAGCTGGATGTTTAGCATCGGTGTAAGTAATCTTAACGTATGGTTTTTTTATGTACTACATACATTTTAATAAACGTTCTGTAAAAATCAAAACTGTTAAATTAAAATTCCTAACCTGTTGACAAAACTCTGTACAATAAACAAAGTTATAGTTTTTTCATTGAAATAATAATGGTCAATAGAAATAATTATCATAGGCTATTATTAATTTAGTAACCAACAGAAGAAGAATATAAACGTATATAACATCTTGGTCCGAAGAACTAATTTGGAATTATTTTAATTTTATCATCCGATAAAAAGGATTTTCAATTGCAAAGGCTCAAAGCTTTTAAAATGTCGTCAATTAAAAATATAATCACAATACTTCCTTACAATATCAATCCATCAAAATAGTTTTTGATATTCTTAGTAAGAATACAAGAGTACTTACTTGTAAGAAATACATCTAAATGCTATCTAACATCGGATCCATGAAGGTTTTAAAGTAATTTATTCAATTTACAACGACTCATATTATCCTTGCTCAGTCATATTTGTGCAAACGTAATTCCCTTTGCATAATCAACAGGTAATTTGAATTTTATTTCGGCTTTATCTGCTCTCAGGTTTGCAAAACAGCGCAATTAATTTCAATATCTGGGTTGTAAAATTTCACTTTTAAACCAACCAACGATGGTAATTCTATTTGCTTGCCTAAAGCAAAAATATTTTCCCTTAAGTAAAAACTGAATAAGGTGTTAGATGTTACAGTAAGTTCACAATAAGTACGTTCGTACCAACAGTTTTACAGTCCGATTACTAAATTAATTTGTAATTTGTATTCGTTTAATTTCCAGAGTAAAAGCACAATAGGCTAGATCCACTTTGTTTGAAAACACAAAGAAAGGCAAAAACTCAATATCAATCAGGATTGGTTTAGGTATTTAAATCGAGTTTCTCTTAACGAACGAGAACGTGAGAACAATACAAGTATTGTGTTTTGTAAGCATTTGCCTTTGTGACTTAAACAAACCAATATATTATGCGCTATAATAAAATTAATTTTCTATCTTGATGATTTAAACTGTTATACCGTATTTAAATGAAAAAAAAAATACCTGACCGATAGTTATATTGGAATGCAATAGAATATTATTATTTAATATAGGTGTGGTAACTTGTTATAATTATTTGTTTTTCATGTTCTGTGTTCTTTTTGCTTGATAGACCTGAACAATAGATTTATTTTAGCAACTTGTATGAAATATAATTTTACTATGCATTTCAGGTTTTCATTTGCCTCTAAAAAAAACAAACATATGTCTAAACTAATAATACCATTGTAGATTTCAATAACAGATCACAAAGGCAACACCATAAAAGACCTCTTTCATTTCATGCAAACATTTCTATGTATATAGAATTAGGCCTAATGTATTTTGGAAAAAAAAAATAAATAAAAAAAACACATTTATAGATACAGAAGTTAGGCATAGAAAGAAATATTAAGCCAAAATATGTTTAAGGCCTTTGACGATATCTTTGCAATATAATTAATTTTATAACCACTGGTTCAATAGTTTCAGTTTGGTTTACAGGCATTCAATAATAATTTACTAAGGCTATTGATTGTTCCATACATTTTAATGCTAACCAACATTAATAACACGCGATGTTAAGTAACAATTAACGCGGGTAGTTTAGTAACAATTTTTTTTCTTTGAAATTGTTTTTTAGTTTAATAAAAAAATATATTAATGCGATATGTTTCTCTTATTGCTGTGTGTCTGTAAATGTATTGGCTAAACAACGAAACACATTATCAAGTGCATTTTTGTTTACTATAATGTTTACGTTAATGTTAACATTATCAATGGAAACGTTAATCAAATCTTCAGGAATCCAGCATTTCTTTGCCCGGTTGCTATTAAGAAAGAAATGAATATTCGAAATAACGGAGTAAGGAACAGTAAAATGCGTTAGTCGTCGTCATTTTTAAATTGAAGATCTTAACATTCCTTTATTGTCGTTTCTCGGTTCTGAGCCTGGTTAATCCCAAATCTTACCTCTGATACTTCAGCCCTCTTGAATACATTAGCATTTAACATCTTTACCCGCTCCATAATCTGCATTGAATATGAATAATTTTATAACCTTAAAATCGATTCTCTTAGCCTAAATTTGTACACGACAAATATTCAATGAACATCATATTCAATTAAATCTGTCAACGACATGAATTTATTTAAACTTTATAATGCACAGCTCAGGGTATTATTCATAGGGATTAATGTATTTACAACTTAATTGAATGTTGATTAGGCAACTTAAAAATAAAATGACACTTATAGTGAACATAATATTGAAACTACCAACAAATCATTTCATGGTAACTTGTAAGATCTAGTTAACGTTATTGGAAAAAGTACTGTACATGCCAAAAATGTAATAGAATATCTATAATGGATTTTATAAAGTTATATTCTTTATATTCTAGCTACTCTAAATTAAATATATGAATTAATAAGGATTGAGTATAAATAAAATGAAAAAATCTTACATGAAGTCGAAATCATGCTAATACACTCTTCAATATATAAGACATAGAATATGTAGATTTTTTTAAGTTTACAATGTTTAAATAAAAAGGATACGTTATACTACTGCTATATATTTTAATTATTCAGGCTTTTGCGACCGATTCCCTAGTCTCTCACACTATAAATGGACTGATATCACATATGATAGGGCTCGATGTAATCAGTAATCGAAATCTCTCAGTGTTCAGTATAATATTACAGTTCCATCAGCCTCTCCACATGTGGCTGTGTAGTATTCTGCAGTGAAATATAAGTTGCCAAACAATCATTCGTTTTGTAATTCAATATAATGAGCAGTTATTTTGTAGGATACTGAAAACTAATTTTATAGTGTTTTAATAATATAGACAAAGTTACCACCATATCTTATTGCCATCTCCTGGTCAACTGGTAGAAGTCTAACATAAAAAACTTACACACAAATCTCTCAAAAAGTGTGTTTTTGACATATTTTATTTGTTATATTTTTGATTGAAGCTAAATTTCAAAGGGGATTTTTTTGGTTTTGAAGTTTTGGCTGACTGTAATAGTTCTAAAACGTATTTTTATGTTTATCGTGTACTCGTATTTGCTATGTGATGGTTAAAAGATTGCGTTCATTGAAGAGGTTACCTTAGAAAAAACTCTTTAATATATAAAATCATACTAGACAAGTTAATTTTTTCAAAACTTAAAATTTTATGCTCCGACGGATTCTTTTTTATTTATTTTTACAATATTCTAGTAGAGTCTCAATGATGTCGACTATCACTAACTTTGATGATCTTAATCATATGATAATTTATGTAAATATTTAAAATTATTAATTTATTTTTAAGTAATTTGGAAGGTTTTTGTGGTTTAGAGCCAAAAGGTAAGTTCTCACAAATATTTCCTGCTGAGTCCTTGTTTAATACAAATATTTGATATAAATATCTTATAAACCTGTTAAAAAATGTATTAACTGATACCTCGCGTATATAGATTTTACAATTTCAGCCTCAATATAAGAATAATTTATTCCCTCCCTGTACTGCTAAAATGTCAATTTATTCGAATTAAAACGCATATCTCTGATATATTCTCCCTGGAAGTATTTGAAGGATGCTTCTATTCTAATACAGCTTGTATTTCAATGGCCATTGCATGCTAGATTTCAATTATAGATCGGTGAAACATGAGAGCTTGAATTCAGTCATTTATGTATCTGTTTACTTCGAAAACCTTTTTTGTTAAACAAAGGCTGTCAGGTCCATGCTTATTACAAGGGTGCTTTGTATCATGAAATGTATAAAGCTATATTAAGCGTAATTTTATAGAGTTAGAGGAAACATTAAGGCCATTTTCCATCGAGATTTGTAAAAAACTATTTT